ACATTTTTGGTATTACCTTGTATTTGGGACAAACAAAAATCCCCAAATTGATGACAGGATATTTTTGGCAGTATCAAATTAGTTTTAAAAAATGTGAAATAGCTTATATAATTCAGTTGATTCACTGAATCCTCAAAATGTTTGCATAACAAAATATACTTTTGTAGAATATAAAAGAATATTGTTCATTGTTAACTGATATCATAATGATCATGTTTGAACACTAGAAAGCATGTACAAGAAAATAAAAAGCACAGAACAGACACCAGGTTTCAGCATGTATGTGCAATACATTTGTGAAATCAGTTTTGATTGTACTGCCAAAAACAAATATAATGGTAATTTGCATAAAAACTGAGAAATAAATTTGGAACAAGTGCTGTCAACATCTTGGACATTTTTAAATATTTTACAACAATTTCTTTGTTAACTTTGATTCAAATGAACATAATTTCCATTGGCTACATGTCTTGATCAATTTTTTTGAATAAAACATGAAACAAAATTATGTTTTCATTTTGTGAAAGGTTGCAAAAGTTGACTTCAAAATTTAAAGGGTTAAATAGACATTTTTAAGATGGTGACCATTAGTAGCAGAATTGCTTAATCATGTGTAAACACACTAGAATCATTATTCAAACTGTTGTGACCATGTCTTTAATGGATTTTATGTTCCCACACAAATCATTTATAAACAGACTGCTTGTTTGCCATATGCAGCAGAATGATTTTAATTTATGCAGGGTGTTAGTATTTATAATGCGGGGGTGGCTATGTGTGTAAACTGAGGGACAACTTCAACATACCTGCCCAGATGCTACTTCATACATCTTAATGCTACCATCGTTACTTGCAATTGATAGAACCGAACCAGCTGGATCAAATGCCACTCGATTTGTTGGATGTGGTCCCATGTCAATGTTAGCCATGGGTGCAACAGTACGGATGTCCCATAATTTCACATTACCATAGGAGTCACATGATGCCACGGTATCCCCACGCAGGTTGAAAGTGGAATGATTCACTGAGTGGATGTGTCCATAAAATGTTTGAGCACATAAACCCTACAGATAAAATAAGATAATTAACATAATTTGAAAATGACCTACATTATGCCAGCAGCTGGCTTTGTTCTCAATATAATCCCAGTATAGTGAGCGCCCTCTAGTCGCAATATAGTTTTCAATACAGTTTCTATGAACTATAGAGGGCGATGTTGATAAAAAATGTGCTGCAAAATTTATATCGAAAGAGTTTACCTAACACCTATCTAAAATATTCAACACCTATACTGTGAACAATTACAACAATAAAGTGAATATACTCACAGTTCTGGCATCCCATAATGAGATAGTCTTGTCAGCAGAGCATGTCAACAATGTATTGGAATATGGTAAAAACATTATACTATTAACTGAATCAGCATGGCCACGTAGAGTGTAACGACACCGCAAACTGTGAAAAATAAATAAAATTATATATAATACTATGAGTCAAACCAACATGATCTAGTTAAATAAAGAATTTATCAGTTACTGTATTTGTATATATTCATACTGTATTGTATATTAAAAACACATCTCTATTACAACAGTGCACATGAACCAAAATGTGTATTTATTGTTGTACACTGGATCATTAAATTCAATCTGTAAAATTAAGATTACAAACGTAAAATACATTGTTTATTTAAACAAAATCAGAAAATGTTGTATTAATGAGAAATACCTTTGGATTTAAAAAATGATCTTGAATAAACTTAAATGATAAATGATTTGTTGTGCTACACCCAAACTGGCAACAATGTGCAATGCACTTACCTGTTAAGATCCCATACTTTAGATGTATTATCCATAGAACATGAAGCTATGAAATCACCACATTGATGAAATGAACAGCCCCATACTGTAAACAATTACAAATAACAATAATTTGTTTACTTTCATTGCACTTTTCACAATATCGATTGATCAAGATTGCATGACAACAAAATATAAAATATTTAGCAATAAACAAAACAAAAAATAAACATTATTTATATTCTCATACAATCATGGATTAAATGAAAAAAAAAATGTTTTCAGTAGTGCCATAAAATTGATGCGTTTTATGTGAATTGGAAGTGCATTTCAAAGGCTTGGTCGACAAACAAATACTCTAACCCCAACATGTTACCAATCTAGATCTGTATACCTCAAGTAAACACATAGAAATGAGACTAAGACTAGCAATTGGTGGAATGTATGGTTTCACCATCTCTGCAATATACATCTGTGATGGTCACACACTTTCTTGAAAACTATCAACACAAATTTTAGATTTAATCCTGTATTTGACAGAAAGCGAAAGAAGGCTAATAAGATGAGGAGTGATGTGAACGTATTATTTTAGTGATATGAACATATCTTTTTCTCCTCAAAATTAGTATTGTCGCTACATTTTTGACACTCTAAGACATATGCAACCCAGAAATACCATCTAGGTGCAATAAACCATTGCAGTAATCAAGTCTAGAACAGATACATAAATGAATAACAATTTTGGAGATTTGAGATATACAAATATGAAATATAAATAATATGTTAACAAGTGGTACATCTACCATACGTCTAGTACCAAAAATAATAAAATTTACCCTTTCATAAAAAGCTATATATGCACTTGTTTGATTATTTAAATTTCCTCATATTTGGGGTTATCGGTAACTACATCATCAACATTGGCGCATTTCAGATTATTGATGTTGCATTCAAACAATTTTTTTATGCCATTTAGGGCTGTTATGTTTTGTTAAAGTATCACGACAAGCCGAAAAAAATGTATAATAAAAAGATTATCACAAGAATATGCACTCAAGCAGTACACGATAACATTAACTACAGCTATGTGATGGTAAATATGATCACTGGACTACTTCGTGCATACTTTGTGGTACACATGTCCACAAAATTGAACACATTTTACACTTCATCTTCAGAACACCACTCCCTAATAAGATCACATTAACAGCATACCGGTAGTTCCTGCATGGATAATTTGTGGATTTCTCATAATAACCTCATCCACCACTGTTATTTCAGAAAAATAACATAATTTGTGGATTTTTCATAATAACCTCATCCACCACTGTTATTTCAAAAAAATAATATGAATAATTACCTGCATGGGTGTGATCAGTAAAAGTTTGGACACACTCAGCTTTGGAGAAATCCCATATCTTAACTGTTCTGTCACCACTAGCAGTTGCTAACTGTGCACCACTGTCAAAACAAACATATGTATACATCATAAATATAGCAAAACAACAAGTGTGTATTGCGGAAAGGTGAAACATTTAAATATTATTAAAATAAATAATTCATATTCTGGTGGTGTTTGGATTTCATGTGAACAAATAGTGTTTTATATGCATACACACAAAATGGTCACTCATATCAAACATAACAATGATAAACAGCTCACATGTAGTTTATAAATCTGAATGATATTAAAATGAACCTCATACTATGTGATTGAGTTACCATAGACTCAAAAAATAGACATAGACAAAAAACCCACTGAATTTCCTAAATTTGAAAATCACATTTTCGCTGTAATGCAATATTAAAACATCATCCACGTTTTGCTAAAATTACATTTTTTTTGAACTGGAATTCCAACATACCAGAATATAAAAGAGTTAAATTAAAATAGGTTCAACAAGCTCAGCTGGGTGTTTTCTGGTTTGTGTTAGTACGATGAATGTGATAATTAAGATCAGAAAACAATAAAAAGAAAATCTTTTCAGACCTATATACATCATAAAGATATTTTTACTAATTCATCTTGTGATTTTGAGAATATTTTGACAAAAAAATCTCAATTTACTACATTTACTAACAGTCAGACAGAGCATAACTCACTCAAGGTTGACATTGAAAGCATACTTGGATGTGTGATTTCATGTACTGGTAATCATTAGGCTATTAGCCAGGAATTTGCAACTGCCAGCCCAAAACAATTCAACTTCATGAAAATGTAGATGGTTTTGGATATATTTTGGTAAAATTATCAAAGAACAATAGGAAAAAACAGAAAAATGAGAAAAAGTTGTCAGTCCAAAATCAAAGTTGCCAGTCTGTTTGGTGGGTGGACTGGTGGCTGGCTAACACCCTGGTACTGTGGAATACTTTATTTTCGCTGGAATTAATTTTCGCTGAAAAAGCTTTTTGGGCATTTTGTATGGAATTTATTTTCAGTGATTTTTGATGAGTTTAATGTGAAATATAGGCAAAAAAGTATATTCGCTAGATTTTATTTTCACGGAATCATCCCTTCAGTGAAAATAGCGAAAATAAATTCCAAGCGAAAATAAAGTATTCTACAGTAATCATTGACAATGAGTTACAATACACCTTCTCTGAAAACAGCGCCCTCTAGTGACTAGCTGTTTTCATGATGTAAGTTGTTGAAATGTACATGGTTTTCATCTGTAGTTATCAATGACAAAATAATATTTTGGAGTAATCTACTATATACTATGTAAACAAACTTTCCAAAGATTTTGTTTTCACTAATCTACACCATTTTTAGGTGAAAAAGCATTTTTTTCAATAAATCGTTGTACCAGGCAACATTTTCGGACATAAAAGTTACTGCTTGTTCTTGTGCATGTGTAGTCTTTTAAACCTATTAAATACAGCATCTTTAGAAGACAGGGTAGACTGTAAACTGATTTACACTGCTGGGTAAACATTCAGCTTGAAGAATAACCCCAGAACTTAAATTCCCTGATGTAGGGTGAACATGTTAACCACAATATCATCACCCAGGTTTCTCATGTCATGTTGACTTTAGGACAGGTAAAAGATTCAGATAGATTCCACTGAATCAGAGGTTAGATGAGCTTACCTAGGATGGAAATCACAGTCTGACACCCAGTCAGTGTGTCCTTCACCAGTCATAATGATATCACCATTTGGTACAGCCCACATCTTCCAGATGTGATCATCACTGACTGTTGCTAAGATCTGTTTACGTGGATGGAGTGCAATACTGGAAATGAAAACCAAAAACAAAACAAAATTGTTATAGTTATGCCTATTAATAATTAATTTTATTTTTATTCTCTTATGTTGAAATTGTACCATATTTCAAATGGAATGATCGCTTGTCTCATTCTTCCCGTCATCTACAATTTAAACTAGTTGAGAAAACTCCAGGTCGATTTAAGACACCAATCTGATGATGCAATACATTGAAATTTGCTGAGAAATCTTAACAATATTAAGAAATCATAACAAACATGCTAATGCTAATACAATGTAAGTAGTCAATACATACTTGCTGACAGCCAATGTGTGTGCCTGAATTGTATTACTCAGTCTAAAACCACCAGTTCTTGTCAGATGTCCTGATGGTCCTTTCACCAACAATAACTGTGGATTCACTCTGGTATCTGTTGGGAACTCACAATCCTAATAACACAAAACAATGATTTCAGTATTACAGCATACATTAGTCCTATTTTCCACATTATAGAACCATAGTCTAGTAAAACAGACCATGTTTATAATGTAGCAGCTCACTGCTCTAAAAACTGACATCATCCTCTTTTAATTATTTTTTTTCCTGCCAAAATTTGCCAGACATTGTCTGTAACTAATGCTATTGTTGAAATTTTGGACAAAAAAGTTAGATTTGTAGGTTTTGGTCATCATTAAACAATACTTTGTGACCACAACTTCATGGTACCTCACAGTGAAAACATGTATTTATTAGCAGCTTTATACCTATAATCTATTCAATTAATTATTGTGGATAATAATCATACATTATATTCATAATATATTCATATATGATTGAAATATTATAAACAGCGTCCGGATTACTTTCGGAAATTCCGTCGCGTTCGGAAAGT